AAATCGACACGTTTCAGAAAGGCGGGGCATAGAGGAGAAACAATAATGTACAGTATGTGGAAAATAATGTGTTTTTTGAACCTTACACCGCATAAACACATTTCATTACACCAAATACACAAAATAATGTTCTTTTTAGCAACATCATATGACCCCTTTAATCACTTTTTATTGCCAATGTGTGATCAGCATGTAACAAAACTTAAAAAAAGGAGATGAAATCTGTTGATTTTTATGTGAAGGACTCAGGGCGGTTTTGCCAGGAAAATCCAAAGGAAACGATCATAACTGTGTAAATTTAATGAACCTCATCTGTCGACATGATGTTGGTGGATCACGTTCACTCACTGTTTTGGCCGTCGCTCGCTCGCATAACTATGGAGTGTGTGCACAAGCACGAGCAGTAAGTTGCTGGCTGCAGTTCACTTAACAGCCACCGGTCGCTAATAACAAGAGTTTCTAAACTCTACACAGAGCCCCATTCAACAGCTAAATATCAGCATTTTTACGAGTTAATCTTCATTGTTGACAGTGAAATTGCTTGATCCATCCTCTTGAGTAGGACTAGGCAGTATGACAATATAATATTGTTCTGCAGGACTGCTTAATTTTTGACGCGTTGAAGTGATAAAGAAACATGAATGAAAAAATAAAGCATAGGCATGCTTGATGATATTCACGTAAACACAGTCGGTTATGTCTAAAGTGAACATAAGAAATTAGAAGAAATATGGATTGATATATTGGATCCATGTATGCATCTTAAAGGGACAGCAGCCCAACATACCTGCTGCTGTCTATATCCTTAATTGTATTCAGACAATAAGACAAAGAGAAAATAACTCACTGCTCTTGACTGAATTACTTAAGTAACTTTAACAATGATCAATCTACAGTACATGTAATTCATAGAGTAAAGAAAATGCAGTTTTATTTTACATTTGATCATTCAATTTCTGTTATTTTTTACTAAAATGCTACTGTTAGAATACTGTACATGAATAACATAAAGGATCTTTATAAAAACTTTATTAAAAGTTTTGTGTCTTCTTAAATTAAAAGTTTTACAAAATGAAGAATAAATTATTAAGCTGAAGTAAACAGACTCCATCCTGGCTAATGCTCTATAATATTTTAGTGTCTAGTGTTATGGTTAAAGAATATGTTGTCTATAAGTTGTTCAAAGAGGGGAAAGCACTTCTCTTTCTCTTATGAGTGTATCTGTAAGGTCTGTTTTGGGTTTTGTCATGTTCATGTTTTCATGTCTTTTATTTTGTAATTGTTTCATGCTGTTAGTGTCATGCTTCCCTTGCCCTCTTGTCTTCATACTATTGGTTCTTCTGTTCATTGTGTCATGTTCTGATTGGTTGTCTAGGTCATGTGTCTTGTTTCCCATTGGTTTGTTCATGTCATGTGACCCTCTTTGTTTGCTATAAGTAGCCATGTTGTTGCCTTTGTTCCTGGTCGTGTATTGAATGTATTTATCCTGCTGTCGGTTAGTGTTTAAGTCAAGTCTAGTCTAGTCTGTTCAAGTCAAGTCTGTGTTAATTGTTTGGATTCTGGATCACTTTGTAAATAAAGCTGCACTTGGGTTCATCTTCAACTCGCCTTCAGTGGACTGATCATTACAGTATCTAACTCCACTATTACTAAATGTGTTTTATCTTACTCCACTGTAATGGCACTGTCTCTTGCACTTCAAATGATTGCTTGTAAATATTGTATATGTATTTTTGTATTTTCAAATTCAAAAATTACAAATTACTTGTATTTTAATTTAGTACATTTCTCACACCTGTATTTTAATTAAATACATTTGATGAGCAAGTATTTGTAATTTGTAACAAAATATTTTTTGATGTATTTGTGCCCATCTCTGCTTATAAATCACACATGTTAATGCCTTATTCTGCATGACCATATTTTAGATCCCTTAATCCGACCCCACACCTAAAATTAACAACTACCTTACTAACTATTAATAACCAGCTAATTAGGAGTTTATTGAGGTAAAACTCTTAATTAATAGTGAATATGTGTTCCCTATTTTAAAGTGTTACCCAAAGTCTCAACTGTTTTAGTCCACACAATGAAAATTGGAGGTGCTCAAAACAACATTTTACCCTACTGACTTTTATTGTATGGACCAAAAAACTAAGACATTTGTTCCACAGAAAAAAAGTGATACAAGTGATGTGACATTTACATTTAACTTTTGCTATTTCACTATTTAGATAACTGATTATTTTCAGAGAAGCAAGAACAACCCAGGAAAATTTCTCTCCCAGCAGGTGGCTTTCATTTTGATGGGATTTCTCCCAAAGTATTACATTGATCAACAGTGACATAAAACCCAGTGTGTCACCTGATCGTTGTTTGGCATTCAGCTCTCTGACTTTGTGCTCAAATGAATTTTAAGAGATCGGGTTTCTATCAGTGCTTGGCTTCTCTACCCAGTCTGATGCAAATAGTGCTGATTAGTTGTTCACATCTATTAGATATTTGAAAGTACATTAGGTTTAAGTCTCCACAACATTCTAAAAGGAAGTTATTTCACGGGTGAGAAGGGAAGTCTGCTATAACAATCACACAGTAATGAAACAGAAGGAAAGGAGGATGACATCATAGGGTGGTCCTTTGTCTTATTTTCAAAGTTTTTGGAGGTATTTCATTGCTTTGTTCTATCCTTTAGTGTTTTACTCTCTTTTTCTCTTTCTATTATCTGTACACTGACTTTCATGGACAAACAAAAAAAAGCGACTCGAGTGGTTTATCCCTATATATAAAATAAAACCTTATAGCAGTGGGGCAGTTAAGAAACACAAATTGCCTACATTCAACAAACCAATGTGAGCCAGCTATCCATCGCAGTACCACTGGACGTAAGAAAAAGCAACAAGCCCAAGCTGGGTTGAGAGAAGTGGAATAGGTTCAGTCTTTGCAATGATTTGCAATGAAAGAGAAGGTCAACCATATATTGCTCCTCCCAGAGGAGAGATGAATTTCAGCTAGAGCTCCACATAAATGTGACTTCAGCACATCTTTAGAATCTTTTATTTATTTATTTTATTTAGAACTTTATCTGAAGAAATAAAAGGAAAATACTAAACTCATTGGGTTTAAGAGTGTTAACCATCTATCTTAATATTTTTATTAGTTTCTGTAACCTAATTAAAACATTATGAATGGCTAATTATACGTGCTCCCTAAGAAGAGCTATCATTTTGGCAATAATAATGTTGAAAATGGTGTAATAGCTTCATCATCACACCCTCGTCCTCAAATTTTCTTAATCATAAAACACAACTGTGTAGACCAGAGTTTCTAAGCTGTCTGTAGGAAGTCTGACAGGAAGCCTAAAGGTCCAAATTAAAGTCATGGCAAAAATGTCTAAAGGTTCAAGGCCTGACCACAACTGTCTTTATTTTGATTAACTATAATTTTTAAAATCAGCATTTTCTTGAAATAGCAAGATTTCAGACCTTTGAAGTGCAATGTATTGAGATGGTTCCCTGGTAGCCATCAGATACAGAAGTTTATTAAATGCTAAATTCCTTTAGACTGGTGTCTAAGAGTGTTTAGGGGAAGATTACTTCTAAAATTGAAACATCTGTTTTGTTTTAGAGAGCCATGGTGTGACTTGCGTGTCTTTGCTCATCTCCTGTTTTTCAGTGAGTTAAGAGTACATACGAACACCTTAATTAATTAAATAACATAATATAACTGTTATAGACAGGCTGTATTGATAGATACTACAATGATGGTGATGATTTTAAATGCATACATTATTAGACTGTTTTTTTTTGTTTTTTTTTAAAATATGTTTTCTACAAAACAATTGTGAAATGTAAAAATGAATACATAAAAAACAATTACAAAAAGCATGGCAAATCTGTCCAATGACCACATGAGTCATGTGGCTGGTCCATCTAAAATGTTCCATACAAACCCATGTACAATAACAACATTAAAAAGTTGTTGCTGCTGGTATTGATAGAGAGATGTGAGCTTCTTATTTCACATGCTCAATAAATTACCAGAATGAGGCTCAGGATGATTAAAACCCATGCAATCCCTACATTCCTGGGGAACTTGGTTACCAAATCTGAGAAACAGAGCATAAATCTTGATGACAATTAAATAGCATGTACTATGCACCATATTTTTAGGATAATTGCAAAGCAGCAGTTGGCTGTTACATGCGAATGAATGCACCTTCAAAGCAAGACAACTGCTTTATTCAGGGTTATTCTTTTCTCCCATTCAAGTCTCCCAAATAGAACTGGCCTACTGATAAAACACTCTAAATCAAATGGCAGGAAACACTTCGGCAAAGGACATGGAGGTGTGACCAAGAATGTGTCACAGACCAGGTCAAACTGAGCTCATGTGTGAGCTGACTGCAAAAAAAAAAAGGAAATGTGTGGATGTTGCATGCAAAAATTACTAATAAACTATGACTAAAATATATATTCATATTGTAACGCCCCTGTGGACTGTTTATTGTGGTTTCTTCCCCTTTTGTTGGTTTAGCCCATACTA